CACACACACACACACACACACACACACACACACACACACACACACACGCTAAATGAAACTCTGTGATCCACCATTAAGTCTCAGTTCCACTTCTGGCCACATGGAGGACTGATGGGGAGAAGGTGCCAGACACAAGGAAGAGAACAACAACATCTTTGAGGTGGCCTCTGGTTGTGAGGGTTTATAGTGACTATTCTCTCATCTTGCAACTGAATGTTAAGACAACCTGCAATGGGCCAGACCTTGTTCTACACAGAAAGTTCACAAAGCTGGTGAACCTGGAAAGCCTTACTCTCCAGCTAGACTCTGAGAATCAAGACATTTCTTCTTCCACCCTTATAATGGAGTGCAAAGTAGAGGAAAGGCAAAGGCTCCATGCGGGAAGTCAGGGCACATGGGTTTTGCTCCCAGAGCCCCAGACCTGAATTCACAAGGCATACAAATTGCCCTCATTTGTGTATCACTTGTAGATAGTCTCCAAAGTTGCACATCAAACCTCCCACACTGCAATGCTTCTGTGTTCCCTTTACAAACCTGTCACCTTACCATGCTCTCTGCTCTTCTGGCAAGTCGTGTTCCCAGTCTCAGGCTCAGACTCTGTATGTGTGAGTAGACAGGTAGTCACCCAACCTACATTATACAGTATTTATTCATTGTCCTAGCCTTCACTATGTACATTGTATGTGTGTGCGCGTGCGTGTGTGTAAAGATAATAAAAACACTCTACCAGCCCACTAGAAAGGAAACTGCTTGCCCATTGTGCCAGCTGGAGGCTCTCCTTACAACCAATTGGGCGGCCCTTGCCTCAGTTCACCTCCTCTCACTGCTGGAGGAGAGATACAAGTCCGGGGGTCAAAGCTGGCATCCTAGTTTGACTTTGCTTCTTGCTTTCTGATGCTCTTGCCATTCTTACTCCAATCTCTTCATCCCTTAACCAAGAGTGAGGGTAAAGGTTTGAGCCTTTGAAGCTTGATGTAATGTATTTCTGACTTGATTCCACACACAGAGAAGGCAGGGCCCCATGGGCGGTGGGAAGAAGGGGAACGGGGAAAAGGGTCCCATGACAGACTGAGTGGTAGCAGCACAAGCAGTGCCACCATGGAGAGTCATTGCCAGAGTGGAAATGGCTTTGCCGCAAGCAATAAGAACATTAGGTAGGAGCTTTGCACTGCAAAGGGACAGTCTGAAAAGAAATAGCGTGCTTGAAAGCATCAAGAAGAAAACTGCTTTAAAGGCGGTAGGCAATTGAGCTTGAAACACAAAAGGCCCCTGGTTTAACACGGGAGACTTACAGCGATGTCCCCAGGTGTGAGAGTTCACATCAGTCAGGAGAGGGTGGGAGCTGCTGAAAGGCCACTCACAAGTACTGCAGGTTTTCCATTAATCTAGAAGGAAAGCCGCTCTACACTTCCAGGGGAGAGCTGACTGTAATCTTCTCTCTCCAGGGAAAAACGTTCAGAGAACTTTAAAGGTCATATATAAATATAAATCCTAGTGACTTAAATTGAGGTAGTTACAGTTTACGCTCATATTTCAAAATAAAATCTCAGCTTTAGCCCAGATTCATGAAGTAGAAATGTCTGGAGTTTTTTCTGTGATCTTATATTAAATCGGCAGCTTTTGCTGAAAGGGAAAAAGGAACATTCTATGCCTTACCTCTTGACTGGCCCATCTCTTGGTGTGGTCTGCATATAAATTTCAGAATTACCGATGTTTGTAATGGGAGGACCCCTAGACGACTCTGCTCTAGCCCTCCTGTTCTTCTAGCCTGGGTCAGAGCTTTTCTGACATCCTCCCCAGTTGGTTCCAACCCTCTCCTCACACAGCTCCTGTAAAGGCGGCTGACCATTTCCTGAAAGGCAGCATTCAGCTCAGGGCTCACATCTGCAGCTCAATAGAAGAGAGGTGTTGATGTTCCTCGGTGATGTAATAACTGGAAGAAGAGAGAGGTGCTTCAGACTTTATCCTATGGAGGAAATGGAGGAGGCAGTGGAGAGATGGCTCAGCTGTGAGGAGCACTGGATACTCCTCCAGATGACTGGAGTTTAATTCCTAGTGCCCACCTTCCTAGCACCAAAACCATCTATTCACTGCCAATCTGGCTTCCTCTTCCAGCCTTGTTAGGTACTGTGTGAAGAGTACACTTTCTCACAAGGAGGTAAAACACCCATTTGCATAAATTTAAATTTAATTAAAAAGGAAAAAGGAGAAGACCTGGAGCAGTGGGTACCGGCAGCTCTACACAGAGGCAGCCATCACCTACCAGCCCGATTAGGAGCCGCCTCAGCTGCAGAGCTTCCTTACTGTATGGAAGGCAGCCCGAATTCCAGGGCCTAATAAACAGGAAGGCACTGAACACTTCAGCCTCACAGAGGAATTCGGAGATTCCAGAGATCCCAGATTTTGTCAGGGCCACCATCAGGCCTGGACCTCAGTTTGACATCCCTACTCATTCCCTTACTCTTCACTCTCCCCCACTGGGAAGGATCCAGAAATAGTCCCTAGTCAGCAATGGGATGGGACCAGGATGGGGAAACAGGCTCATTCATCTTTTCATCCACCTATGTGGAATACTTGCTGTCACCTTATTTTGTGTCTCTGAAGATAGGCTCTGGCTAAACCACAGACCCCTCCTTTTCCTTCACATAGTGGGAAGTAGCTAATGGCTATTTTTTGTTTTTCAAGAGAGAGTAGTAATCGGCTTCAATTAACCCAGTCAGACAAATAGAAAAAAAAAAAAAAAAAGACTATCATGTGTCCCACACATAACTCCTTCCAACCTGCCCTACAGACTCCCACAGTAAAAACCATGAGGCCTTGTGTTTTATTTTCTCTCTGCTTCACCCCTGAAGTGTTTGCTGATATTTGAAGCCTGGTAATAATTGTTGTCCTCTAGCTATGTTTCTGAGTCTTCAGCCAAGTTCATGGTCATCCCATTTTCTGAGTTAGACAGTCTAATCAACTAACCAGTCCCAAACAGCCTTGCTTCTAGACATGAAAAAGGAAGAAAAAAAAATAACACCTCCTTAAATTTCAGGGCCACAAAACTGTTAGAAAAGTGTGCCCAGTGAAAACACTACATGGTCACAGAAGAGAGGTGTCATTAATCAAAATAAATACATTTGGGCTTGCTATTCAAGGACATGCATGGACAGAATGAGCGAAGACTGTGAAGGGGGAGTTCCCATTTAGAACATTTTAGGGGGGGTAGTCTTCATTGTTTCAGTTTTCTTTGTTTTTTTTTTTCTGTCTTTGAATCACAGCAAGTTAAGTACAACATATGTTTTAAATTAATCTCATCTTAATGAAATCCCCTATCAGTGGACTTGGAAAGGGGCAGGGAGGAGACCAGGGAGGGAGTGTGAGGTTGGGGAGGGAATGAGGGAGCGGGATACAGCTGGGACACAGAGTTAACAAAATGTAACTAAAAAGAAAAATAAAATTTAAAAAAAAATTAATCTCATCTCAGGTATCTCAAGAAAGGTAAAGATGCACAAACTCTCA